ATAAATATCAATTCACTGACGTTTCTGCCATATTTAGAGTTGTGGGAAGTTTTATTACTAACACTGTTTTGTTTAGTTTCTTCGATATAGTTTTTGTACACAATATTGTAAATACTCATTAGAATTATTAGATTGATAAGTTGTTATTTTATTCCCCTCCTCTCACCACAGACAATGAATTGTACATATGGGGACTAGTTAGGACTTCATAGAGTTTCCGAGGCATTATGGTGGATGAAGTAAAAATTCGTTGTTTTGATGGAAGGAATATTGTTTGTATGTTTGAGTCAATTTTTGTGGCTAGTTAATTTTAACATTAACATTTCCCCATTTTTTCCTTATGCTACATCTGCACTTTATGTACAATAAATATTATCGATCTTAAGCTACGTCGCAGAAGGAAATATTTTTTCGCAACTTATGGTAAGTACTTACTAAACTCGGCCTGCGTCGTCTCTGGATTTTTTTTTGAGTTGAGATTTTCTCAACAGTATGCCTGTTAACTCTCAAGTCAACGTAAAAGTTTGTTTTTTTTATATAAATCTTTCAGACAAAGATGTGCAGGTGCTTAAAGTGACAAGAGAATCAATGAGAGAGTTAGGAATATACCAAATTTTAAATTTACTTCACATCTTCAATATTGCTTTTCTAAAACGTTGAATTTCTTTTTATCATCATATGTCTTCACTGTATAGCGTGCTTTAATAAAGAAATTCTTCGATGCTAATCGCAGCTTCATGTTATCTCATGTTTGTTTTTAATTTTTATGTCCAGGTTTTCTTTAATCAACATAGAAAAATTACTAGATGCGTCCACATTGTCTCGTTTGTCTTTTGCAAGATTTAATGGATTTCCTTTGATTTATTTGCTCTACTCGTGGTCGGGAAGCACGTTAATGCTAAAAGCTACGTATCAGCATTTAACTGATTACTTTTCAGACGTGTGAGATTAACAAATCTGAAATGAAGCTTTTCTAGTTTCTACCAATTAAGGTTATGATGAGTAAACATTATATATACAATGGAAAATGCATGGAATTCTTTTGGGAAAAAAAAAAACATTACAAAAACGCTACAGGAATGGAGGGAAGAAGAAAGTAAGGGAAAAATGAATAAGAAAGGTGGAAAGATGGAAGAGAGGTGGGAACGATGTTTTTTTCCCTCCTTTTTTTACGCCTTGGAACTCAATACAAGTTGTCAGACGTTTAACATACGTCGCGAAAGGAAATATTTTTTCGTAACTTAAGGTAAGTAATGAGTAAGCAACTTTCCTCGGCCTGCACCGTCTCTGGAATTATTTAGGGGTTGCTATTTTTTCGACATTAGAGCTATGAAGTATTTTTGTTTTTTAACTAAATTTCACCCAAAACAAGGTAAGTGGTAAAAAAAGAAAGGAGCTGATCTGAACATCTCTGGAAATAGCTATAGAACAGCGATAAATTTGCAACGTTGCATCTATGAGAACGAGGCTGAAGAGTGCTTGTGGAGAGCTATGGTTGCACATAGAGAATAAAATGAAGAAGATAAACTTTTTCAAGTCGTCCATTGAGAAGATGGTAAAAGAGATTAATTCTAACCAATAGCATCAAGATCTCTAGAAAGACATTACGCTTCATGACTATGACGCAAAAGAAAATTAAAGGTAAATTTAGCAGAATTCTTTTCAGCGTAAGTAGCTAGATGCCATTTTGACAACGCATTAGATGTAATAAATACAAATTTTAAATTTTTTTTTAAATCAGCAACGTCTGAAATATATTTGAGACTTGACTAAAATACCTTAATGGATAGAAATTTGATTTTATACATTACCAGCGATAAGTAGTACCTATTCGTGAACGTCTTTCTTTTGCAGCTCATGTATATACCAAGACTTGAGCACATAATGAAAATATAATTTTAGACAGAATAAAAGCAGTCTTTTAAAAAGATAACTGAAGCTAGTCAATGAAGCCAGAATTTGGCAGAGATTACTTTACTAAAATCATGCATTAGGAAAAAATGCTTTCAAATATCAGCCTAAGCTGGCAAGCATAATTTCACAAAATATTATGAAGCTATTTTTGTGTAGATGAACCCTTCCCAAAGTGTCACGAACACGTTTGGTAGGCCTGAAAATTCCTCATTAAAATTCATGCATTTAGAAAAAAGATGATTTTAACTATCACTTTAAGTTGGCAAGCATAATTTCATAAAATATTATGAAGCTATTTTTGGGTAGATCAGCCCTTCCCAAAGTGGGAGTTCCGAACACGTTTAGTAGGGCAGTTGCGTAAATATTCAGGATGGTCACGAGTGCAGTTAAAAAAAAATATTTTCATTATTTGCTGGATGTTACAGTTTTTTAAGAAAGAAAACTGAAATTCATGATTATTTGAATTATTGATAAAAAAGAAAAATAGTAAATTATTTTTGTTAAACGAAATTACAGTGTTACCATGATATAAGTGAGAAGTCTCTTATATCCGGGTTTGGTCTATTTTATATACATTAACACAGGCTGTAATTTGGGACCAGAGAAAATCTATCTTATATCCGGGTTTCTCTTTTATCCGGGTTTCTCTTATATCCGGGTTACACTGTATTTTTCTTAAATAGACCCCCCCCCTGGTCAAAATATTAAGACCAGATACAAAAGCGTTAAAAAACAAAAAAATACTGTTACTTTAATCAAAATAATTTTACGAAACATTTACATTTAATTAGAAAATGTATTTTATCAACAAACAAGTGAATATTTTAAGCTTTTAACTGATTAATTTAAACATTGAAAAAAAGAATTTTTTTGGTTGGTCATAAAGATAAGACCATGTAAATAAAAATAGCAAATACAGAAAAAATAAGTCACAACGACAATTTAATTCTCAGTACGTCCTCCATTTTTGCGAATTACTTCGAAAATTCGCTTTGGCATACTCATTATTAACTTCTGCATGAGATTGCTTGGAATGCTCGTCCAGGATTCATAAACTGCTGTACGAAGCACCGTTTCCACCGTTTCAAAATGCGATCCATGTTTATAAACATCCTTTGCCATCCATCCCCAAACATTCTCGATTGGGTTTCGATCTGGAGAGCGTTGTGGATTGCAGCATTGTCCTGCTGGAAAATCCAGTTTTCTCTACATGAATTGCATTGTACGAAAATGAACCCCAGACCATAATTAATCCACCTCCACTGTGTCGTTTTGAGAAAATTTCTTTTGGGACACCTTTTGCATGCCAGTAACGCTGTAAACCGTCTGGGCCATCAAGATTGATTTTTTTCTCATCTGAAAACAACAATTTTTCCATTTATCCACATCCCAAGTGTGATAATCGGAAGCAAATTGTAAACTGGAGGTTTTATGGCGAAGAAGAAGGCGAGGCCTCTGCAGCTGTTTCAAGTTCTTAAACCCTTTCTTATTTAAATGCCGTCGAATTGTTCGAGAGCTGCATTCAGCATCTGTATTCACTTTTATCTGATTTGATGTTAGGCTTGAATCTCTCTTCTTGCCTAATGCGTCTCTTTAGAGATGGTGAGAATTTATTGGGGCGATCGATTGATTTTTTAGAAGAATACGCATCCGGATTTTTAATGAACTTAGCAATGACAGTTCTGCTACGGACAATTTCAATAGCAATGGCTCGTTGCGAAAGACCACGACTTTGAATTTCAACAATCCTGCCCTGTTCGAACTTTGTTAAAATTTTACCCTTAACTATTTTAAAATCTTAAATTTAATACTAGAAATGAGCTACTTAGATGTCTACACGCCTGAAGCTATGAGCACATTGACTAGTTTCAAAATTTTTGTCCAGTAATTTTTTTTTTTCATACATTGTCTTATCTTTATGACCAACCCAAAAAATCATTTTTTCAATGTTTGTTTAAATTAATCAATTAATAGCTTAACATTTTCACTTGTTTGTTGATAAGTTACATTTTTTAATGAAATGTAAATGTTTCGCAAAAATATTTTGATTAAAGTAACAGTATTTTAACTCAATTCACCCCAAAGAAGACAATAATGACACTAAAAGGCAAGGGGCTACTGCGAGTGAAAGAGAACGAAAAAGACTTTAGAAGGAACTCAATCCTAAAAAGGAAACAAGAGATATACCTCTAATCCTGTTCCAAATCCCGGGGTGGGGAAGTGCGAACCCAACGATAGGTGGATCTATCTGTTCCTATTGAGGAAATAAAAAATAGTAAAAAAAGAAAATTGAAGTTTAGCGGGAGACAGAAGAATAAAGTTCAAGTAGTCTTTAGAAGGAACCGGAAACCCAATCCTAAACTGGAAACAAGAGATAAACCTCTACAAATGTTACAAAGACCGGGTGGATTGTGAACCAGAAGATAGGCGAACCTATCTACTCCTATTAAGGAAAAAAATAATGAATAAAACTTCAGAGTTTCGGCGGAGAAGGAAGAATAAACTCATTCGCCTTTCGTTTTCCGTAGAGAAGATCGTCAGTAGTTGCTTTGACTGGAGTTCTCCCTCGGAGAGTCTTCTGTATGCCGCGTTATTTCAGGATTTGAGCGATCTTGATTCTCTACATTCTACTATCCCTTTAACTATTATTAATTTTTTACTATCATTCCCACTCACTGTTCTGTCATTCATTTACCCAAGCCTTCGATATGTACATGTGAGTATCAAATTTTCCAAGATCTCTTTCCTCATTATATGTCCCAGAATTTTAAATTCTCTTTCTGATTGTTTGCACGCTAAGTCCAGTGTATTCTCAGGATCCTTCTGTAGAACAACCTATCTGCTGCGTGAAGCCTTCTCTTCATCTGGGAAAAATTGTCCAGCATTCACTGTTATACAAGAATAATATTACCTCGTAGCTCACTACTCTTTTCTTTCTAGTGAACTCTGGCTGGTTCTTTATAGTTTTTTTTTCTGTGCCACTCCTTACATCCTCTGTTAAAACACTTCCAGGATATTTAAACTTCTGTACGTATTTGATTTTGATATCTCCAATTCATAGCTGGCATCGTGGGCTTTGTCTGACTTACGGCCACACATGTTGAAGCACCTGTTCTCGTACAATCACCGAAGTTAAGCAATGCCGAGTCTGTACTTAGATGGGTGACCACTTGGGAATATCAGGTGTTGTAAGCTTGGATGTGCAACTGGAGTAATGGATAATAGCTAGGAATACTGAATGAGATAGCGGAGTTCTAACTCCCGTTGGGTTCGTTATATTCACTCACACCCTAATAGATATGAATCCATCTCCCTCCCTAGCCATGGGTTAATTAGTTAGACTTGTATAAATAAAACCATTATTCTTTAAAAAATATCTTACAATTTAAAAATATTTTCTGGCTTTAAGGAATCTACAGAGGGTTAATAATCCGTAGAAAACGAATCAATTAATCTATTGAACTTTTTCTTGTTGAAAAGCATTATTCTCTGTTTTTACCATTACTGGTTAGTCCTTTCTTATCGCTTTCCTAGTAAGTTGTGTTGTTTTCTTTCTGTGTATGCTTTGTGATGTCAACGAACAACTCGTTGCCACTTTTGTAATGTCAAAGAATACCCGTTGTCATTTCCGTAATGCTCGTTGTAGTAGAGACTTTGTAATCGCAGATACAACTACAGTAACGCCGTTGAACAATACTGGTGCCAGATACCTTCTAATAACACTCTCACTAATAGCACTTTCTCGATAATACTCGGCCGGACAGTAACCACCTAATAGTAATCCGTATTGTGATCCAAATAGTAATCATATAATGATCTACTTATTCAAAATGGGATCGCCTGCGTTTACTCTCTGGTGATCTGTGTTCAAACTCCAGTGTCGGTAGCGAGTCTTTATTCCTATATAACAGTATGCCATCAGTTAATATCATCTACAATATCTGTCCATATTTCTGAGATAAAGAATTGTAATTATTTACACTATTTATATGAGTCGGAGTGTTGTTCTCATATTTGTTACAACAAAGATAAAGACAACGGTTCAAACGATGTAAATAGTGTAAGTGAGTACCATCTGCGTAACTTATTTTGTTAAGATTGTGCCTTTCAACAGTGAATCTTGGTAGGAATGGCAGCTTCCCTCGGATTGCCTCGATGTAGAAGCCTAATAAATCCGCTGAGATGATGCATCCTTGTCTTACGCCTGTTTCTATATTTTGTATTTACTCAGTTCGTTTTCTGTCAGCATGCAGGTGGTTTGCATTCAGAAGCCAAATTTGTTTTTTTCTAAATAGTGTTGGGAGGAGTGTCGTGACAAGTATTTAACATAAGGAGGTCGTGATGCGAAATGTTTGGGAAGGTTCAACTCCCCCAGAAAATAATTACCTGTATATAGTGAAAGCGGTCACCGAAAAGGCATGGTTTTTAACCTCTTCAAAAAAAACTTTTGCTTTGAAACTGATCAGAAAAAAAACTCGAACTATATTCTAAACAGAGAGAGAGAAGGAACTTCTAGAACAAATAATGAGGAGGAACGCTTCGAGGACTTAACATTTACAAAACATATTGAAGGCAAGTCAAGTAGGGGTAAAAACTGTGTGACTTACTGAATTTATGGGAATGGTAGAACAGGGAGAATTTAATTTTGTAAAGAGTAAAAAAATAACGAAAAAAAAAAGAACAAAAGATAGGAAATTGTGGAGAGCCATGCTCGTCTAGCTCCTGAAAGCATATGAAAAAGGAAGTGATTATACTACTCAGTTATGCGCCATACGTGATACACTCTTAGGCGATTTTGTAAAGAATAAAAAGGCAAACATTTCTAAGTGCTACTAGGAATTTCACTAACCTAGTGAAAAGACATAGTGCAATGAAGATGATGAAAAAGAAATCTCTTAAAATGTTCAATATATTAAAGAATTATTTTGATAAGGTACAATCACAAGAGGTATAGGCATTTTAGAACGCCTGCTATGGCTGATGCACACATTAAAAATATACTGCAGAAAAATGAAAGAAAATCTTGTGTGAGTTTGAATGTGAATATTTCTGAGTGTATGTGCGTGCGTGTGTTCACGCGTGTATGTGCGTGTGTGTTCACGCGTGTGTGTATATGTGTGAATTATGTAATTTGATATATTAAAAAAAAATAATAAAAGCTCCAATTCTCTTTCCTGGTTTTCACGAGTTCGGAAAAGAAATTCGCTGTTTCCATTTTGGTTTTTGCTTGTTGGTTCTTCTTCCTGGGTGGAAACATCGGAGCTGAAGCCTTCCTTTCTTTTCAAATTTAAAATTCACGATATCCCAAGAGAGATCGATCAACTCTCCCCCCCGCCCACTTTTATGAAAAAAAAAGGGCCCGAAAGGAATTTAAGGAAAAAGTAGTACAAATCTAAGAATAAAGAATCTTCATTGTCGATATTTTTCTTTCCATTTATTTCTTTGACTTCGCTTACGAATAATAAAGGTGATAAAAATACGATAGAAGAATGAATAGATCGAAACGATAAATAAAATTAGAACAATGGCAACAGTAGACCTGTTGCTTGATCTGCTGTGAAAACATAATGAATAATAATAATAATAGAGATAGCACACAAAAAGATGCCTCCTTATTGATATGGCAGTACCTGCAGACTGCAATGTATCTTTCAAGATCTCCAAAAAGCTATCAAAATACAAGGACCATGAAATCTAATTCTCAGAAATGTGGCACATGGGAACATCAACAATCCCCGTTGTAGTTGGAGGCCTCGGATTGGCTGGAAAAGATTCCAGTAGACTAATTGAATGGATTCCTGGATGTCCATGCCTTAAAGAAATAAAAAAAAAATCTCACGAGTGCAGCCCACACCTTACAAAAGACTTTGTCTATGTAAAATATGTTTTTTTTTCCAGTGCAAAATGTCATGATGCCATTTCTAACCTATGGTCCCTGGGCAGGATCCGGAAATAAATGAGTACACAGCAGATATCAAAGGAAATAATAATAATAATAATAATAATAAAAATTGAAATCTCAAAAATGTGGCACATGAGGGCATTACCAATTCCATTTGTTGTTGGAGCTTTCGAATTGATTGGAAAAGATTCCAACAGACTTATTGATGGGAAGCCTGGTAGCCCATGCCTTAAAGAAATACAAAACATTGTAGTCACATGTACAGCCCACACAAAGTGTCTTATCCATGCAAAATATATGCGATTTTTTTTCAGACTGTTTAGTAGGGAATATGATGCTATTTCTGACCTTAAGTCTCTGGTCGGGACCAGGAAAGAAATGAGTATACACCAGAAACCAAAGGGTAGAATTATTATTACTAGCAGCATAGGCCGGCGTTGCCCGTGCTTGATTCAAAAATCGTACAACTTATACAGCAATCGCTATCACTTGACTTAAAATATTTTTGCCCTTCTTTGCCTTTAAAGGAGTGTCCTTTGCTGTGCTGATGTTGCTACATGCCTTACTTCTTGTCTAACTCACACTGCGAATTTTTCTAAGCTCTATACTAAACATTAAATCTGTTACGAAAAAAAACTAAGCGAAATGAACACAAAACGATCAGCTTTAAAAAAGGATTCGCAAATGGAAAAACCGTATGAAAAAGAATGTTAACAACAAATACTTTTTCACACCCAACCCAGTTCTGCGGAATCAGAATCAACGTTGAGTTCAAGCAAGCGAATGAGCCAATTGGAGTAAAGTGCCATGTAGATTTAAATTTTTCTCACTTGTGACGAATGCAGCTATCGATTTTTTTTGCATGCTATTTAAAATTCGTGTCAGTCAGCTGTTGGCTCTCACGCTGGCCAATAGAATGTTCCTGCCTATTCGTGGCAGCCAGCTATAAGCTCTCACTCTGGCCAGTAGAAAATGGCCGCAAACTACATGAAAAGTGCCGTAGAAGCAAGAAAAAATCGATTATTTCCACTATTGATGGGATTTGGGAAATGCAAAGTCGGTCTTAGTCTTCCCGCTAACTTGGAGCATGTGCACGTATAGTTTGGTGAAAATCCGTCGAAAATTGTGGCCGTGCATTCGTTGCACACACACACACACACACACACACACACACACACACACACAATCCTGCCTTTTATAGATAGACATTATTATTATTATTATTATTAGTAGTAGTAGTATTAGTAGTACTGCTACTTCTGCAGGGTTAAAATTTGTAACCGAAGGTTTTATTCCAGCTTCACGGGATCAATTCTTGCTAACTAGAAATTAGCTAGCATGCACGCGGAAAAATATACTGAAAGTCTTTTATTTCGCAAGATGTCTCTTCGGATATTGGCCAGCATATTTGGGTCGAGATAAGGTCTTTTTTTTTAGTTCTTACCATATCTCTCCATATTTGTTATATCTGATCTATGATGTTCTTTTGTGGATTTTTGAGTTCAGCGAAAAAAAGATGCTATGATTTGTTTATACTCTTCACGATGCCATTTCGTTCGCTTTCCTTTTTATTAACTGAGTCACCGGGTCCACTGTTGGAATTAATTCAGTTTTGGTGACCAGGTGCATCAATGTTTGTGGAAGTGTTTGTTTCATTGACAAATTCTTCGCTCCCAGACTGGTTCCTCTTTGGGGGACATGGTCCTTGTTTATCCGGGTGATTTGGTAAGAGTTTTTTCTTTGTAAATATTGAGATTTGTATTTGCGTTTTAAACTTAAGCGTCAAAAGATAATTTTAAAGATACCATTTCTAAGACGACTATCCATGAGACACAGCGATGTCATCGGATATCACTCCGATATTTCTAGGAACAGGGAGATAATAATAATAATAATAATAATAATAATAATAACAATACGTAGTAATAATGATAATAAGTGCATGGTTAAAAGCTGAAAGCGAAGGTTTTATTCTTGCTGCACATAACCAAAGCTTCCTAACTAGAAATTACCAAATACATATACTGAAAAATTGTGTTAACCGGAAATGCAGATTCTGTGATGAGTATCCAGAAAAAAATAACTATTCTTGTATTAGGTTGCATGGTGTTAGCACCCACTAAATATAAAACTCGACGTGATAGAATGGGCAAGTATTTGCACCGGAAAATCTACCACTTTTACGGGAAGGAAACTGCAAGAAACTGGTATAAACATAACCCATTCCGGTTATAGAGATAGGATAAGTAACGATGTTATGAGACTTTACACACAGATCAGTCAAAGATAAT